ATTCTGTGTCTCCCTCTCTGTCTGCCCCTCCCCTGCTCATGCTCAATTTCTCTCTCTCTCTTTCTCTCTCTCAAGAAAAATAAACATTAAAACAAATTAAAAGAAAAAAAAAGAAAAGTGCAGGATCTGGAACAAGACTGGCCTCAAACTTGGCTTCCCTTTTTACTTGCACTGTGACCTTTAGGAACCTATAGTATGTAGAAAATTACAGTTCCCACCTCAGAGGGTTGCCATGAGGATAAATTGAGGTAATACATTTTAAGTATTTGGGGGCACTTAGCACAATAACTGCCACACAGTAAATGATTTAAAATATTAGCAATTATTGGGGCGCCTGGGTGGCTCAGTCGGTTAAGCGTCCGACTTTGGCTCAGGTCATGATCTCGTGGTCTGTGGGTTCAAGCCCCGCATCAGGCTCTGTGCTGACAGCTCAGAGCCTGGAGCCTGCTTCAGATTCTGTGTCTCCCTTTCTCTCTGACCCTCCCCCATTCATGCTCTGTCTCTCTCTGTCTCAAAAATAAATAAACATTAAAAAAATTGAAAAAAAAAATAAAAATAAAATATTAGCAATTATTATAACAGACAACACAAATGAGCCCAAGATTTCTCTAACTTATGTACAGCTATGCACCTTTTGGAATATAAGGACAAAGAAATTAGAACAGATCAATGACCAACAGGTTCTAACACTATCTCTATGGAAATTAACTGTTGTTGCTTTTCATGTTACCCTAAAAAGGTAAGAGATGATAAATAATACCTAACAGTCAGTAGGTACCTACCATGTACTGGGTTCAACATAAATTCTTACTTCATCTTCATAATACTACCAAACACCTAATATTATCTGCAATTTATAAATCAGAAAACAAGAAAATGTAGGCAATATGCCTGGTGTTACATGGCTAATAAATGACTGAATCCAACTTCCAAAGCAAGTATGACTCTAACATTCTGTATAACCCCAGCCCTTTTAATAATACATCGTATCCACCATCTGTCAATTTTTCCACACTATCAGTAATGTTTCTCACCTTTACTGCCTCTTGAGTTGGATTCTATAAATTAATCTTTCATATGCTCTAAAAACAACAGAAATAAATAAGTCCCCAAACTTTAAAAAGATTACCTGGTTCTACTTATGTATTTACCAAGATGTACTAGGTAAGTCTGTTAAGTCTATCTACTCTTCAATAATTAAAGAAATTTCAATGGTCCCCTTACTCCTAAGATCTTCCTCACAAATCATCCTTCATCTTTCTAAACTAAATAATATTAACTTAAAAAAAAAAAAATCTGTCCTCACAGAGCAATGTCTCCACTTTTACGATCCTTCCTTTCTGGCTGTAGAGGAATAAGACGTAACCGATTCAATATCACCAAAAGAATACAAATCTTTTACCTTTAACATTTCATAGATAGCCCTGTTGCTGATTTCATTTTGATTACAACAGTATACGAATAAAAAGGCTTGAGAAAAATTAACATTCCCTTATAACTGATGGCAATGAACTCCCTTTTCTGAAAATAAATCACAAGTTCTCCTCACTGTTGGACTTGGATGATTTGGCATTTTATTCCTAGAAAATACTTTAATTACTAGGAAAAACTTGAATACTTCAGGATACATGTTTTCCAAGATAATTCATAATGCTGTCAATGAAGAGAATTGTTAATATTGATTTTTTCACTTTGAATCCTTTCTTTAAGTTACATTTGCAAGTAAGACAAGTCCCTGTGACCCTATGTTGTACTTCTCAAGCATTTTTAGTATGGAAATGAAAGGTTTAGGGCAAAGTAAACTTCACCTATTAACCTTCCTTTATCTCCATCCTTAGCATATCTGCCACTCAATATTCTCTCTCCTGTCCCAACAAAGATCTTTGGTCAATAAGAAACAATTTATATTTTTCTGTAAAGAAAAGCTATCCTACACAAATTATTACATTTTAGCTGTTCAACATTCCTACCACTTTAATAAGTTAATAAGCTATCCGTCATCAGTTTATTTGCCACAGATGAGAAGTGTACCTACTCCTCTAAAATGTGGTGTCTCAAAATGGCAACCCAATAATTCTCTGACATAATAATTTGAAACAATTATCCAATCTAGAAAGATGACCTTAAATTTAACCTGAGTACTTTCAAACACCTCATGAGAATGCCATTTAGCTTCTGCAGCAACATCTAACTTTTCAGTGAAATCTGTACTACCTTCTGTGCTTAAAAAAGGGATAGGAGAGGGTTATGGGGTAAAGAATATGCTGGATCCTCTAACTTACTTACGGCACCAACAAGGACCAAATGGTATTAAATACCAAACATTTTGTAGCTTCTTTCCTGCTTTTGACATAAAACCCTCTTATTTTTGTTAAGCCCGCTTCAACTTCTAATCGGCCTGCACCTAAAATGATACATTTAGGTCTATGGCCATACCACCCTGAACACGCCCAATCTCGTCTAAAATGATGCATTTAGAGGGCTTCTTTATTTGACTAGACAATCTTTCTATTTCGGGGTATCTCTACTCATCCTACTCATGTGATTTTTCTCTTTAAGTAAGAAATTCAAGAAATGCAAAGATGTATCATCCCTAAAGATAAAAGGTAATTTTAAACTTCCCTAGATTTTGGGGTGCCCTGGGTGGCTCCGTTGATTAATAAGTGTCCAACTTTGGCTCAGGTCAGGATCTCACAGTTCGTGAGTTCAAGCCCTGCATTGGGCTCTGAGCTTTCAGGAGCCTGCTTTGGATTCTGTGTCTCCCTTTTTCTCTGTGCCTCCCCTGCTCATGCTCTGTCTCTCTCTCTCTCAAAAATAAACAAACATTAAAATAAATTAAAATAAATAAATGGACTTCCCTAGATTTTAGTAATTATATTTCAAAATCAATCAATACTTCAGAAGTTACAAATTACAGCTTACTAAGGATTCTTTTGACAGAAGAACAATCTCAGGAATAATTTTCTGAATTTATTAAATTTCCTCATTAAAATCATATACCAAAAAATAAACATATTTAATTCCTTCCCTGTGTCTCTGATTAAATCAGATAACAAGAATTTTTGGTGACTCAATTTTGAGTAAAATTTTATTTTTTTGTTTTTAATTTTTAAGGAATTTTTATTGTAAGTAGGCTCCATGCCCAATGTGGGGCTTGAACTCATGACCCTGAGATCAAGAGTCACATGCTCTACTGACTGAGCCAGGAGGCATCCTTTGAATAAAATTTTAAAAGGATACTTGTACATTCTACATTGTACAAAGGACATTTATCTAATTTTTCATTAGGTATTTACCAGATATACTGTTGTGTTTTTGTTAATGTTCATATTTTCTAGACTCTTATCACATTTCATATATATTTTCCTTCAGTGTAATCAATGTGAAATATATTCTACAAAAACAGAGGCCATATCTGTTTCAATTTACAATGAGAAATGTTCAGCCAAATACTAAACTCAAATCAAATGGATACTCTGATGACTGTGATGGTCAGAGTTTCTATAAATCTTCACCTGAAAATGTTGAAATAACTTCAAGTGTTGTTTCCAAAACAGAAGCAATGGATGTTACTTTATCTGCAGCAAGTATGTACAGGTCCCCAGATTTGGAACATTTCACAACAGCATACCTAAAATAAAATTTTAGGAGAAAATTACTAATAATGAAAAAGAAAAGCCACAGCTATTTTAAATGTTTTACATCATTTTAGGAAAACTAACTTCAAAATTAAAAAAAAGCACTACTTTCAAAGAACTTCATCCCTTACATTTGTTTTCCAAAAAAGCTGCACGTGAGGTCTTAAATGGAATCATCTAAAGCTTAATAAAACCTATATGAACACAATAACTATGTTATAATTCACCGAATTTTAAGAGAACAATGATGAAATAAATCCAACATAATGCTGATGATGAAACTGCTCCTATTTGTGGATAAAACAAAAAATACAGCAATAAACTTACTTTGAGTCTGGCATATAACAAACAGCTTGATTGGCAGGAATTGTCCAAGGCTGGGTGGTCCAGACTAAAAAACTAACAGGAGATGAACCATCTGTGAAAACAAAATTTTAATTTTTTTTTTAATGTTTATTCATTTTTGAGAAACAGAGACAGAACATGAGCGGGGAAGGGGCAGAGGAAGAGGGAGACACAGAATCCAAAGCAGGCTCCAGGCTCTGAACTGTCAGCACAGAGCCTGACACAGGGCTCTAACGCTTGAACTCACAAACTGTGAGATCATGACCCAAGCTGAAGTTGGACGCTCTACCGACTGAGCCACCCAGGCACCCCTGTGAAAATAAAATTTTAAATATGCTACAGGGGCGCCTGGGTGGCGCAGTCGGTTAAGCGTCCGACTTCAGCCAGGTCACGATCTCGTGGTCCGTGGGTTCGAGCCCCACATCAGGCTCTGGGCTGATGGCTCAGAGCCTGGAGCCTGTTTCTGATTCTGTGTCTCCCTCTTTCTCTGCCCCTCCCCCATTCATGCTCTGTCTCTCTCTGTCCCAAAAATGAATAAACGTTGAAAATAAATAAATAAATATGCTACCAAATGTTACAATTCTGTAACTTGAATAAATTTCAAGCAATGAATAAATCTTACCTATGAGAGATACCAACTTGGGAGAAGGTTTCAAGAGAGGGAATTTTACATATATTGAGCGACTGACATGTTCAGGATTATACTCAAGTTCTGCTTCAGCCAATGCAGTCCTAAGGTTTAAGAATATTACATATAAATATTTGAAGGCCTCACAAAATTCTCCACTTTCACTACCAAAAACACGTACATACCTTGATGAAGGAGACCAAAACACAGGTTTGTAAGATCGATAAATCAAGCCCTATGAAAGACAAATACATATGAAAGCTGGAATTTTGTTAACACATAATGTAACATACTCAAAGAAAAAAAATACTTCATTACCTTCTCATACATTTGGTAGAAAAGTCTCAACTGTTTGGCCTCATATTTTCCATCAAATGTATAGTAGCAATTATTCCAATCCGCCATTATTCCCCAACGAATAAATGCTGATCTCTGTTTCTCAATTGCTGCTTCAGCAAATGATCTAGCTAAAAAACAAATTTAAGAAAGACAAAAAAAAAAAGCATCTGAAAACCAATAAATTCAAACTCTTTTTTTTTAATGTTTATTTTTTTTTGAGAGAGAGAGAGCGAGCGAGTGAGCGAGTAAACAAGCCGGGGAAGGGCTTCCAGCGCAAAGCATGATGTGGGGTTCAAACTCACGACCGTGAGATCATGACCTGAGCCAGAACCAAGAGTTGGATGCTCAACCAACTAAGCCACCCAGGAGCCCCAGTAAATTCAAACTCTTAAAGATGGTTTAGTATGTAGGTCTCTAAAAGCAGGTATTGTACATAGTATACACTACAAAATGTATACAATAGGGAAATTATTTTGAAAGTTAAAGGTGTCCAGAAGATAACTAAAACAAATTCTAGAATTAATTAGAATTTCAAAACTATTCTTCAGACTTTATACAATGAACTTTACATTTAGAAAAAATAAACTGGAAAAATTATTTTTCGTATTTCTTAGTTTGGGAAAAGGTAAGAGTAATTTTTATTTCATTATACACAGAAAAAGTAATCAGTACATCTAGTTTAGGCCATTAACACGAAGATGTTTCACAGTGATGTCAAAAATCTTCACAATCATATCTAAATGTATGATAATTTAAGAACAGAAGATTCCTCCCTCACCCAGCTACTAAAGGATCAAATAAGAGATTAATTTAAAAAATATATACGCATTTTAGAATTGACTTTTAGTCTAGCACCTGAAATAGGTCAACAAACTCCAGCTAGGAAAGTAAATAAAAACACTGAGCACAATAATTTCACAAAATATGAACATCAAAAAATTGAAAAATGTACGTGGAAATGCTCACAAACCTTTCCTCACTCTCTGAATGTAAGTTCTCACAAAAGTCACTTAAATGAGATCTGAATTTTCTGTAACAAAAACTGGTTTCTAATAGATACCCTTATAACCAAAAAAACCAAAACCAAAAAACAACAGAAAGTCTCTTTGATTAAGTCCTGACTTTTCCTAGGGACCAGTGTTTATGAATAACCATTTTAAAAAAGAAATAGGGATTATTTACCTTTTTCTCTAATTTCTACAGCTGAAAGATTCTGAGCTTTTCCACCAAGTTCTGACAATACTTTTATTTCAATGGGTAACCCATGACAATCCCAGCCTGGCACAAAATGTATTTTGGAACCTCTCATCATATGGTATCGATTGGCTATATCCTTCAAAATCTGCAAAGATAAAATGATAATCATCATTCACACATAAAGCACGTGGCCTACCATTATATTACTTTAATATCATTGTAAAACACTGGGAAAGCCCAATTTTAAAAAGATTTACATAAACAAAATAACCTATTAAATCTGTTAACTCAAGTTCTACATAAACACAAAAGTAACAGATATTTGAAGTTTAAAAGTGCCATTAACTCCAGAAAACAAATCACATAGAAGGTTTCAAAGTGAAAAACATTATGCCCAGAATTATTAATTTGTCAAGTTGGAATATGCAGAAAAGCAGGCTATACCACCTTCTTAAGAAACAATTTTGACTTCTTAAAAACCAGAGGGTAAAAGTAAGTCAATTATAAATTTCCTTTACTCATACTAAAAACATTAACATGAAAAATCCAATATCATTTATATTCAGCTTAGAAATAGTATATAATCAATGCAGAATTTATAATGCACCCAGAGTATGGAATATCACAGTTAACTCTTTCTTTCATTGACAGAACCTTTATTAAAACACTAGACCTTCACTAGGTATAGTTCTATAACTGATTTCTCTTCTTAGTTCATTTTAGATACTAGAGGGCAGCCTTTTAAAACATGTATTACCATTACAAAATGGAAGATCAAAGGCAAAGGATAGATTTGGCTCCAAACTCAATTTCCTTCTTCCCGAAAGGAAATAATGCAGTCATCCAGAAAATTACTTCCTCCTTTCCACATTTATCAAAATTAGAAAAGATATTACACATTCCTCCCACACCTTCCCCCACTTAAAACTCTAACTCTCAAACTTCTTACCTAGGGGCAAGAGGAAGACCTGTGATCTGGGTGGTTATCACCGGACATAAAAAGTCACCTAATTACATGCACTTAAGATTTGTGTACTTTACAGTAGGTATATTATTTAAATCAACCAATATATAAATAACCCCCTTCCCACTTATTCGTTTTTGAAATTATTTTGATTATCTGTCCCTTCCCAGTAAAATACAAACTCCTTAAAACCCCATCTGTCTTCTTCACCAGTAAACTCCCAGCATTTAGAATGGCGTCTAGGGGCGCCTGGGTGGCGCAGTCGGTTGGCGTCCGACTTCAGCCAGGTCACGATCTCGCGGTCCGTGAGTTTGAGCCCCGCGTCGGGCTCTGGGCTGATGGCTCAGAGCCTGGAGCCTGTTTCCGATTCTGTGTCTCCCTCTCTCTCTGCCCCTCCCCCGTTCATGCTCTGTCTCTCTCTGTCCCAAAAATAAATAAACGTTGAAAAAAAAAAAAAAATTTAGAATGGCGTCTAGCACCATTCTACAAATATTGGTTGAAGAAATATTGGTTGAATGCATGCACATATGCTCTAGACTGTAATGTCTTATATAGTAGTCACTAGCCACCAGTGGCTACTGAGCAATTGAAAACATTGCTAGTTCAAATTGAGATGTACTGTAAATATAAAACATATATCAGATTTCAAATATACAAAAAAAGAATGTGAAATATCTCAAAACAAGTTTTAGAGAGGCTGTATGTCAAAAGATACCTTAGATATGTTGACCTAAATGTAATATTAAAAGAAGGTTCATCTGTTTCTTCTGACTTCTTTTTTATGGGGCTACTAAAAAGTTTTAACTTACCTATAGAGCTTACATTGTAGCTTGCATCATTTCTAATGAACAGTGCTGTTTTTGATCATATTAACACAATAGAATCATTTGGGCTACTAATTAAGAATGTCCCTATTAAGGAAAGGTCTATGTGAAGCCTGTGGTAAAAGGAACAGCAGGGATGCAGTAAGAATGTTTTACTAGTTCCTCAGTATCAGATTACGCTCCTCTCCAAACAAGTTCCTCCGTTATGTTTAAGAACCTTCGGACCCTTTTGCTCATGATAACCCTGTCCTCATTTTTCCTTTTGTTTTTCATTTTCCTTTCGTAATATTCATCTATTCCTTTATTTAATAAACAAAGTTTTGAATGCCTACTATGTGCTAAGAACTGTTCTGGGAACCTAGAGTAGGATAACAAACAGGGTCCTTCCAACGAAGGAAGACAGAAAATAAATACACTCATATTAAGAAAAAAGCAAGGTAAAGGTCAGAAAACAGCATGTGAGGTGGGGGAGGTGGGGGCGGTGGTACTATTTTAAAGGAAGGTCAGTAAAACCTGATGAGATGGCATCTGCACAGAGACATGAAGAAAATGAGAAAGTGAGTCATTTGAGTATCTGGGAAGTGCATTCCATGGCAAGAAAGCCAGCAAGACTACACAGGGTATGTCTGAGGAAAAGCAGGAACTGTTCCTCCTCCAGGTCTTTGACGGAACCTCCAACTATGCACATAAGAGATGGATTTGCGTGGTGCCTCAGGTTTTTAGAGAATAACTCCTTCTCTACCCTCAATCCGTGTGGAGCTCACTCGCCTCTATTCCAGCCCAAGGGTGAACACATAATCCATTGTGGCCTTCAACATATTCTATCCCCACCTCCAAAATGACTGATTCAGGGACAGACCTGTGCCTCAAATCAGGACAAGGAGATTCAATTCCAGAACTTTTGTAAGAATTACTGGGGAAGAGAAGATGGAAGAATGTAAGCCTGTAAATGCTGGGAAATGTGTGGGGTGGAAATGGGGGTATGGGGAGCATCAAAGGGGGATACCATGCTTAAGAGTGAACCACAAAGAGAAACCAACTCTGATAGTATCTGAGTCCCTGGGTCCGGCCATGAAAGGAGCTAGAACTATCTCTGAACTCTACAAGTAAAATACCTAACAAATTCTCTTTTTTGCTTAATCCCGTCAAGAGTTGTCTTTCTATCCCTAAGAACCCAAACAATGTGGAACAACAGAGTTTTGTTTTGTATTTTTGTTATTACAACTTATGATCTTACTGGGGATACTAAAAACAGGAGATTAGACTATCTTTCTTAAAGTGTCTTAATTCTTTGAGCATATGCAGCAGAAAGTTCCACAAGACAAATGGATAAATAATAAATGGACAAATTTTTAAATATTTAAAACAGAGAAAACAACCTAAAAGGAGTAACTTTAAAACAACGATAATACCTCTTGAAGCTTCTGTGTGATAAATAACAAGACTATATTAAAATACACAAGACTAGTCCAGACACCTATTTTATTGATCGGAACCAGATAATGCTGCACTATATTCCTATCTGGGAGAGCAATGTGTTCTTTGACCTTTTTTAAAATTTTGACTATTCAAACACATTGACTTTCCAGCGTTATTTTTTAGCCATTAAGTACATTAAAATTTTTTAAAAATATTTTCTTTGCTGTTTGTGATTATAAGAGTAATACAAGTTCTTTCAAAAAAAAAGAGTAATACAGGTTCCTGTTTTAAAAAAAATTTAAATGGGGGGTGACTGGCTAGCTCAGTTAGTAGAGCACACAACTCAATCTCATGAGTTTGAGCCTCACGTTGGGTATGGAGCCTACTTTAAAAAAAATGCTATAGAAATAACAAATATTAGATTTAAATTGTGTGTGCGTGTGCAAAATTAGATTCTAATGTAACACTTTTAAAACTTGTTTTGGGGCGCCTGGGTGGCGCAGTCGGTTAAGCGTCCGACTTCAGCCAGGTCACGATCTCACGGTCCGTGAGTTCGAGCCCCGCGTCAGGCTCTGGGCTGATGGCTCGGAGCCTGGAGCCTGTTTCCGATTCTGTGTCTCCCTCTCTCTCTGCCCCTCCCCCGTTCATGCTCTGTCTCTCTCTGTCCCAAAAATAAATAAACGTTGAAAAAAAAAAAAAAAAACTTGTTTTACTTCCTTCACTTAATAATATTTGTACATCTCTCACGTCAGTACAGAAATATCTACCTGATTCCTTTTAAGATTCCATATACTTCATTACCAAGATTTATTTAATCAAGTCCCATTAAGGACACTCAGTATGGGCTACCAGTGTAATACAGCATTAACACAAGACGGTTAACGTTTTCCTTTTACATATAGCACAGTCACTTTTTCTAGCAAAATTTCAACCAACCAAAGTGCCATCAGAATAGATGGCTCAATAATCAGAACATAGATAGCCCCAAAATATATCTAATTTGTATGGTTTAAGAGGAGACAGAAACATGGCAAGGACATAAATGTACTAGATACATTTCTGATTAGATACATAACTGATTTCCTGTCAGGAAAATAAATCAATTTAGGTCATCCCTACCTCTTGACATCAACCTAAAGAAATTACAAATGGATTAATAGTAATAATAACATTAATAATCAACATGAAAATCCAAACATATACAAGTAAGAGACAAATTAAAACATTTAGAGATTACATTTGTCTTTCTAATCAGTAATACATACTCAAATTGGCAATAAAATTCAGTGTCAGTGGAGTACAATAAGGCAAGTTTCCTAAGTCGCCTGTAATATAAAAAGTGATATAATCTATTGAAAAGTAATTTACCAATAGGTATCCAGAAATTCCTGTCTATTAAACTAACTCAAGGAAACAATCTGAATTCTTAAGTTGTAGGTATAAAAATATTCATTATATCATAATGTTATACAGTCATGAAAACACCTATATAGGGTATTATAACAATTTCAAAATACATTTATGTCAAAAATATCAGGAAAAAAAGGCAAGACAAAATCTATTCATAAAAATATTATCATTAACTATTTTTTTAAATATTAAAACTAAGGAAATACCTCAAAAAATGTTAAGGGCATTTACATTTGTTTGATAGGATTATGATAATTTTAACTTTCTTTTTTCAACTTTTTTGTATTTGCCAAATCCACATTTATAACCAAAGAAAACAATTAACTTTTAAAAATTTTCAAAATGTACCTCCCACTTCTTAAAAGATGGAGTAAATTCTTCCCAGTAAATAAAAATTTAAAACACTGGACATTATATATAACACAAACAGAAAGGTAAAGAGAAGGCACTAAGGACCTTAAGACCAAGAATGGACACAGTGGTGAGTTTCCAGGGTTTTGATTTGCCTCATAGATTCTAGACGTGGAC